GTTTTAGCAAATGGCTGCAATATAACAAAGAGTGAAAAATTTAAGGGGGTCTGAATACTTTCCGTACCCACTGTATATATATATATATATACATATATATATGTGTGTGTGTGTACAGTATAAAGAAACATGACAGACATAAGTGCAATCACAATCATTTATCTATTGCAAAAATGTCAAAAGCAGTACCAAAAGTAGTCCAAATGATGATGCGTTGCAGTCACAGTCCTTTCTGATGGGGCACTAAAGTTTTGTGTGAGGCACAGAGCAGAAATTAAGTTGATAATCGCTGAAAATATTATCCAGACTATTATCCCGATCCACTCAATGAAGGCACACATTTCTCATTCAAACACCTCACCAGAAACACGGCTAACACGTCGCAATCTGTGGCGAAGCAGGCAAGAGCCAATGAGCATTCGATTTTCCTGTCGTAAAGCTTCTTGAAGGCAATTTTTGAATTTATAATGAGCATGGGTATGGATGCTTACAGTCACTGCTGAGGATGGAGATGAAGATCGCTGAATATAGGCTTGAGTTTGGGTCTGTTCGTCGCAGTCATATGGATTCTGAAGATTTGGATTACAGTGCACAAATAAAATTGATTCCCTTTCTAATTATGTTGCATTTTTTGGTTTATTCTATTTTATGGTTCTATTGACAGCATGTTGGAGAAAACGTCTTTTGTGTCCCACGGCAAACAAAGTAAATGTTACATGATAAGTAATTGTTTGATGTTTGCAGAAATTTTACTCATTTTAAGGGTTTAAAGTGTAGTCTTGTTTAACATTATGCATTCTTTGAAACGAGTTTGCAGCAGAAATCACACAGAACAGAACAAAATGTTTTATTTTCACATTAAGTAAATGAGTAAACTTAATTTAATAATACAAATGAAAAACATAATGCCATTGATATGACAACTGAATACAATATAATAAAATGTTAATTTAATAGTTTTATTTTATTAATTTATTTTAATTTATTTTATTTTTTTCTAGACTATAATGTTGGTAACCTTGGAAATTACACGGTCCACTTCTCTCTCTGTATCAAACTCATACATGTGGTATGCCTGTGGTCCCTCTCAGAGCATCAACGAGAGCAGAAAGCCATTCTGGCTGTGTGTAACGTGGGGTTTTGGGGTTTGTTTCATGTTCTTGTTTTCATGTCTTTTATTTTGTAGTTTGACCACAGACATGTTCTGTCATGTGATTCCCTTGTCTGTGTGTTATGTTCTGATTGGTTCCTTGGTTCATGTGTCATGTTCTCATTGGTTATTGTCTTGCCATGTGATTATCAGTTTTGTTTGCTCATTGGTTGTCTTTGTCATGTGTCCTGTTCCCCATTGGTTGGTTTGTCATCTGACCCTTTTTGTTTGGTATATATAGCCCTCATGTTCCCATTGTTCTTTGTCGTGTATTAATGTTGTAACCCGCTGTCGGTGAGTCTAGTCTGTTTTTGTCAAGTCTGTTCAAGTCAAGTCAAGCCTGTTCAAGTCAAGTCAAGTCTATTTGGATTATGTTTGTCTTTATGTTAAATAAACTGCACTTGGGTTCATCACTATGCTCGCCTCCAGTGGACTAACCATTAAACTGTGGCTGAAATGTTTCTATTCCACTTCTCTCTCTGTATCAAACTCATACATGTGGTATGCCTGTGGTCCCTCTCAGAGCATCAACGAGAGCAGAAAGCCATTCTGGCTGTGTGTAACGTGGGGTTTTGGGGTTTGTTTCATGTTCTTGTTTTCATGTCTTTTATTTTGTAGTTTGACCACAGACATGTTCTGTCATGTGATTCCCTTGTCTGTGTGTTATGTTCTGATTGGTTCCTTGGTTCATGTGTCATGTTCTCATTGGTTATTGTCTTGCCATGTGATTATCAGTTTTGTTTGCTCATTGGTTGTCTTTGTCATGTGTCCTGTTCCCCATTGGTTGGTTTGTCATCTGACCCTTTTTGTTTGGTATATATAGCCCTCATGTTCCCATTGTTCTTTGTCGTGTATTAATGTTGTAACCCGCTGTCGGTGAGTCTAGTCTGTTTTTGTCAAGTCTGTTCAAGTCAAGTCAAGCCTGTTCAAGTCAAGTCAAGTCTATTTGGATTATGTTTGTCTTTATGTTAAATAAACTGCACTTGGGTTCATCACTATGCTCGCCTCCAGTGGACTAACCATTAAACTGTGGCTGAAATGTTTCTATTGCATTGGTTTCTTTTCCTGCGGGAATAGTCTCTTTATAATTCAATGTCTTGTCTTGTCTTCTCTTGGAAAAATGTGAAAAAAGCCTCCTCATCTGGGCTATCACTAAGATCTCTGAGACACAAAAAAAACACAACCTGCCCAGATCTGTGTGAGATATAAATTCAGCACAACCTAAAACATGTTAATCAAAATTTAGATTTGTAAAAAGTTTATGAATACCAAATAGTTGTTCACATGTCAGTTTTGGTTGGGGTTGAGTCCTGTATTCAGAAATACGGAACAAGTTGTTTTTGCATCTTAGTTTTGGTGATTTTTCTTCTTTTCACTGTAGACAAAACTTGAAAAAGTTACAGCATGTTTTCATGGTAAAACTGAAAAAGAAAGTATAAATAAAATAATAAAAGGAGGTGTGAAATGGAAGAAGTGAAAGGAAAACTGTGAATCAGCCAAGCTGGCACTGCCAAAGCTAGTAATTCACTGCTTACTTATCCTATTCTGGAGGTCGGCGTTGGATTTCTCCTCGGCTGCTGGGTAGTGTGTAAAAGCTTGACTCTTGTTAGCATTGAGATGGTAAGCCTCTACTGACACAGCAGTACTGCAGCAATCCCACCTGTCAGTGTACCGCCACATGGGGCTGAAACACAAGTTGAGACCTCACGAAGCCCCCTGCCAATATCACTGCAGCGGAAGGGCCATGTGTACACTGCTAAAGGCCTCCGGTCTGAGAGGACTGTTGGGAGGGAGCGAGATTGTGAGATTAATTTCAATAGGCTGTGGTGTTGTAAGGTTTTAAATTGAATGTGAATTTTGTGGTTACAGCTTGTAGCCTGAAGCCATGATGCAAATATAGGGAGCATTTGCCATGGGTTTTTTTCAGGGGAGGGATTATGAATGCATGCGAAACCGATTTATTGTCAAATATGCATACAAACATTGTCTCATGAATAAGCAGGGAGAGAGAGAGAAACAGAAATGGTTTGTGATACTGATTTTATTGTTAAAACATCACAACACAAATAAAAAAAACGAAATGGCTGCCACTGAAAGTGTAGAATCAATGAGAGGAAAATTCACAAAGATGCAAGCCATTTTCGTGTCTCTATCTTCCAATTTGCAATTCATTGATCCGGAGCAGTGAGAGCTGGTGCTCCCCAAGCATTTTAAAAGGCTTTTCTCTAGTCTTTGGTCCAGTTCACCGACAAGTAGCCTATTTTGTATGACTAGGAAACATTACATCTGATACAGTGGTTCTTATCTGGTAGATCAGCACCCAAAAAATGGGTCTGATAGGGATGGACAGCAGGGAAAAATAATGCTAAATGCAACCAACTATATAGACATCCACAGTTAGGATAGGAAAATACATTTTAAATACATTTCAGCAGGGACACATTAAATTGATCATTTTTGACAGTAAATGCACTTACAATGTATGTATGCTTATGTTTATGTGTATGTATATATATATATATATATATATATGCATACAGTGTTGGGTGTAATTAGTTACTGTAATTTAATTACTTTTCCCTTGAAAAAGTAAAGTAAGGGATTACTCTTTTTTTTTCTGTAATTTAATTACAGTTACGTCTTATGTAATTGAACTTAATGCTGTGTATAGACTGTAGGCCATTTATATACAATACAATCAAATTGTGGATTTAACTTCAAAATGTAAAGTCTAAAATTAAAATGCATGCTTTTTATGATATGCATACAGTGTTGGGTGTAATTAGTTACTGTAATTTAATTACTTTTCCCTTGAAAAAGTAAAGTAAGGGATTACTCTTTTTTTTCTGTAATTTAATTAGTTACGTCTTATGTGATTGAACTTAATGCTGTGTATAGACTGTAGGCCATTTATATACAATACAATCAAATTGTGGATTTAACTTCAAAATGTAAAGTCTAAAATTAAAATGCATGCTTTTTATGTACCCTTCTCACTTTAAAGGTGCCATAGAATGCATTGATACAATATTTGTAATTGTTCTCTGATATCTACATAGAAGGTATGTGGCTTAGGTAAGGGCCAAAAATCTCCAGAAATGGTTTTACATGTCCATTTACAACCCTAGGATTTGTCTTTAGAATGAAATGGTCTGTTATTACCTTATTTGGAAGGGTCATGGATAATAATGTTGAGCTCTGCTCTGATTGGCTGTTTCACAGTGCGGCTTATTTCAGTAGTTCATAAAGCAGGAAGGAAACACAGGAAAAATATATATTCCAATACTTTCTCTCGCAGTTATATCGTTGGGTAATTATACTGTATATAAAATGCGGACGTCACACAGCAAAATCCCCAGAGTTAAATCAACTCTGCTCAGAGTACATATTGTCCCAATCTACAGAGTGTTAAAGTAACACTGAACCAGAGTTACCACTGTTGAGGATTATGTGATATGTTTTCATGTCTAAAAGCCTGAGCAGTAGTTGTTGATCTTCAGCATTGTTAACAGTGGGTTCTCTGGGTCGTGCGATGTTCAGCAGCATCCGCTTCACAACAGTGAAGGCGGCCGATGCTCCTGTCTTGCGTGCGGAGATCACAGTCCTACTGGCGAAGGATGCGATAGAGCCGGTCCCTCCAGCCGATATGAGGACGGGTTTTACAGCCCTTACTTCATTGTACCCAAGAAAGGCGGTGGGTTACGACCAATCTTGGACCTGCGTGTCTTGAACTGGGCCCTTCACCGGTTACCGTTCAAGATGTTTATGCAGAAACGCATCTTCGGGTGCATCCGTCCCCGAGATTGGTTTGCAGCTATCGACCTGAAGGGCGTGTGTCGATCCTTCCGTGCCACAGACCATTTCTGCGGTTTGCGTTCGAAGGATGGGCATACCAGTACAATGTCCTGCCCTTCGGTCTGTCCCTGTCTCCCAGTCTCGGGTTCAGTTGTGCGAGCACAGGGATCTGGTGCTTCGGCACCTCAGCCAGTTGGGGCTTGGGGTCAACTGGGAAAAGAGCAAACTCTCCCCGACGCAGAGGATCTCTTTTCTCGGTATGGAGTTGGATTCAGTCGAACAGACAGCACGCCTCACAGAGGAACGTGCGCGGTCGGTGCTGACCTGCTTGAATTCGTTCAAGGGCAGGACAGCGGTCCCACTGAGACTATTTCAGAGACTCCTGGGGCATATGGCAGCTGCAGCGGCACTTACACTGCTAGGGCTATTGCATATGAGACCGCTTCAGCACTGGCTTAACCCTCTGGGATCCGAGGGTGTTTTGGGACCTGGAGAAGTTTTGACATGCCCTGACATTTGTGCTTTTTTCAGCTGCTAATAAACATTTTAATGGCTAAGTTTAGTAGCACCATAATCAGCACAAACTGGGCTACAATAATATGTGAGCAGCATGTATGTACGTGATTGTGTTTTTGAGAAAACAAAGTTTATGCGTGCTTAGTGAAATCTACAATTTTAAAGTCACTGAAATAAGGCCATAAAACACATACAGAACATTTGATCACAAGACTTTTGAGAAATGATCTTGAAGTCTAGAGTTTTTGCTTCAAAATTATGTGAAAATCATCTTACTCATTCACAGAAAACAATATATTGATTTAAATTTTCTAAGACACATTTTGTGCAGAAAAGGAATATGCGAGGGGGCGTGAATGATCATGCATAATGCTGTGATTCACACCTGAGAAGACAAAGACCTGCATAATGAGCCTTTCGGTAAGGGAATTGCTAAAAAGAAATGTATCTATTTTTTGTTTGTAGTTTATTTAGAATATATATAACTATCACATCATTTTGGGAGTGTGTGCATAACATGGTCTTAGCTGTGGTCCAGGTTCTTGTTCCACAGGCTCTGAGATTCCTGCCCGCACATGTCAACTTCAGTCATTGTTTTCCATGACCTAGTGGGCTGCTTTGCTTTGGCTCTCTTTGCAACAGGTTCTTTTGCACTGTTATTCTCACATCTGTAATAAAAAAGTAAGCATGCTGTTTACACAAACTACATTATTAACATTATTGTGATGTTCACTGATACTAGTACTAATTTATCGAAACAAAGAACACAATTACCACATAGCAAACATATTTTACCATGCAGTAAATAAATCAAATGAAAGTAACATCTGTAAAATAGTGAATGCACACTTACTCAAAGATTCTGAATGGAGTTGAAAACTGAACGAGTGTCCCCTTCCTGCAGAGAGATGCAGGTGAATGCAAGAGTGGTGTATTCCCCACAGTAACTTAGTATAGTATGCATAGTTCATGAGAAAACAAAATGCCAATTCTTACATTTTAACACGATCAACCACAAATAATGGCGTTTACACGCGGCGCTCTTCACGTGGATGATTATAATATCTATAGCGCGCTCAGCACGTGGGCATGGTTGCATTAGATATAATGAAGGGAGACGTGAAAGACTGGACATCGCGTTGGTTTCATATGGATTACTTTATCAAAGAATATTTGCTTTCGATAAGACTTGCTTAAAACTATAAAACTAAACAAACCAATGACAGTTGGCATGCGTGTTTTGCCACGCGCACCTCGTGTTTCGTGCAAACGCACATCAGCTTTTCGCTTCTGAGCCGAACCTTCTACAAGACGAATGTCAGCGGGGGTTGCCATCCAGGCTGCTGAAACCTCTGCGAGCTGCAGCTGCCATTCTGCGGTCTCGCCGCAACCTCCCCTGGGCGCTTCAGTGCTTTCTCTAAAAGAGTGTTTTCCTTTTCAAAAAAGAGCAATTTCTAAAAGAGCTTCACGAGCGACAGGTGCTGCTGGACAGGCTGCTTCCGCCCTGCACGCCATGGCCCTCCTGCAAGTCCACCAGGCCAAGGCGTTGAAGCAGTTGCACGAGGGTGGTGCTGACCCAGGTGTGCTGCAGGAACTGCGCATGGCAACGGACCTCACGCTTAGGGCGACGAAAGTCACGGCGCGGGCCCTGGGTCAGACGATGTCCACATTGGTGGTCCAGGAGTGCCACCTATGACTGATCTTGGCGGATATGAGGGAGGCCAACAAGCATCGCTTCCTGGACTCCCCGATCTCACAGCCCGGCCTATTTGGCGAAGTGGTGGAGGGCTTTGCCCAACAGTTCTCCGCCGCGCAGAAGCAGACGGAGGTGTTTCGACATATCCTGCCCCGACGGTCTGCTGCTGTCTCCACCCAACCGCCGGCTGCAGCCCCTCTGTCTGCTCGTCGCCGAGAGCGCCCTCCTGTGG